AAGCCCGAACAAACTCAAAACACTGATACATACACACGGACGACATAGACACCGACACCGACACAGACACGAAACGAGACAGAGACAGAGACATAGACCTCTCGGGGATGCTTTTGGCATGGGTCCCTGAGGCCCGGACTCCACGGAGGTCTTGGCCTTGTCCTCTGCGGACTCGCCACCGGTTCGGTACTGGGCAGCAGGATCGAAAGTTTCTGTTCGAGCTTGGGCTCTGTTCTGCTTTCCATTTCAATTTCCTGTAGAACAGTCTAATCTAGTCTCTTCAGCAAGCTACCTGTAGGCAGGTAGACTGAAGGAATGTACTATACTATACCATACTATGTTATACTGCACTATACCATACACATATGCATGTTTACACATATATCATATATGCATAAATACATATACAGGAGACACTATTTGGACATACATGCACACATGCATGTACGCGCTACAAACATCAGTATCATAAGAGCAATAACTTAACCATTGTCACCAGCCTTGCTCCTCCAGTACAATCTTGCAAGCACTGTAGCAATCGCGTTGGCTTCAAGCTGACAGACAAAAAAGCGCTTCTTTGGGTAAAAATGCTGGGGCTCGTCGTTTAAGGGTTAGGGTGGCAACTGCCATACTAAGTTAGGAAGCAGTCAACATCAGTCAGGATTCTGAGGCGCTCTTCTTCCAGATGTGCCGTGCGAAAGCGGCCAAGCAGTAATTAGCAGATCAAGAACACAATCCCTAAACACACTTGATCCCAAACACCAAGCCAACCTCGAATCCGCCCTCTGGGAGACCGACGTACTTGTCCTTCTTCGTGACACTGACCAACTCCTTGGCCCGCGCAGAAGAGGCTATGACGTGGGCATTTGCCATGTCGACTTAGGGTGTGGGCCTTAGGGCTTAGGGATTATGATGGGAATCGCACTCACCTACCCGTTGGCTCCGGCATGGCTCAGGTTGAGCATGTGTTTGGGTGGCCCTTGAGGGTTGCAAGCACAAGGAGGTTGGAGCTTGTGTTGATTTCGGCTACCCAGAAAAAGAACGTGGCGGCAGAGACCCCAGCAGCTGCATGTAATGAAAGCCATTCAAGCGGCGCTTACGGTTTCCGCCGGCGCGGTCTTAGGATCGGAACAGCATCAAACAAACCCGTGCTGAACGAACCCATGTACTTTCACATCTCTCGCAGAACTTGACAGTGCGATGGTCTTACCCTCTGGGGCTGATGTCAACTTACCTGCGAACTGCAGCCAAAGCTCGTTGTTCAAGAACCGCTTCGTGGCATTCTGAGGCGCAAACATATAAACCGCCATGGACATTGGAAGTCATGTCAGCACATGTGAAGCTGTGACACTCTGTCATGTGTTGCCAAACTGGAAATTCCCCAGGCCTTGTTTTTGTTCTTCAGCGCGGACTTCATCATCTGCCGGTGACCCATCGTCCTGGCCGGCGGGACCTATTCCGATTAAGGGTCCCACAAGCCCGCGAGAACATGTACTAGCCCCACCAAGCCACTGGGGCCCAGGCTTCTTGCGGACGTGAGCCAGTGTGTTGGTGCGCCTCGACTTCCCCACATCTCCACGCCCGAGTTTTACTGGACAGTCACCTCTCACTCTCCGATCAAAAAGACTACCGTGGCGAATGTCACATCCTAAATTCTACATCCTCAACTCGCGCCCCAGCCCCCAAACCCGGAAAGCCATCAAGGCCCCGAGGCCCTATTGCTCTAAACCCCCCCACCCTCTCTAAAGCCCCCCAAGCTCAGTTTGGAGCAAGTCCATCAGCTCTTGCTCACTTGGAGGCTCATGATCCTGACTGGGCACACCAGTCGGCTTCTTGCTTTTTTATCGGCTTCAGAGTTCAGAGTAAAGCAGTTTTCACTATAACTGACTATAACTATAAGTGTCAGTGTAACAGCGAAACTCGCCAAACTGCAGATGCTCAGGGCTCCATGGCTTTGGGCGTGAGGGTTCAGGGCTCGAGCTACAGGATGTCAGGGTCTTTAGATCAGGCTCTCGACATCTCGCGCATGGCGACAACTGCTGCCTAAAGTGATGGGAAAATATCAAAGCGAAACATGCTATGGTCGCCCCTTACAGCCTCCATCTCAGGTCCCAAAGCCCGCTTAGCTCGGGGCTCGAGACAGGTCATGCAAGGACAGAAGCCACCATCCCCGAATCCCGAACCGCGTCCGCACCGGTGCCTGTTCTCTGAAGAGCTCTGCGGCTTGAGTCAGCGACAGGCCCTGCAGCACGGGCGGCATGATGTGGGTAAGCTGACGCAGATTGGGACTCTTGAAGCCTTCCGAAGATGGAGGGTCTTGCAACGATTGGCCCAATTCGAGATCTGAACAAGAGCCTTTCTATCCTGTCTTCATGAGGTTGCCCAGACAGACGAACGGCAATAGGTCGGACACTATTTCCCATGTTATTGAGTCGTGTCGTGCATTTTGCCCTGGTCTCTACCCCAAACTCTGGCCATCGCCTGGATGAGAGCCTTCCACAGGAGCTGAGTTCTCTCATTCTCCTTGCGCAAAACCTCGGAGACTGGGCTGGAGCCGAATCCGCAGTCCACCAGAACGGGCGACGCCGTCCAGGTGGGGTTTAGGGTTTGGGGCTGCAGGGCTTCAGGGCTTCAGGTTTTTTAAAACTTTTTGGGGTTTAGGGCTTTAGAGGTCAGGGGTGTGACCGGGGTTTGGGCTTTGGCTGGGCTCCTTTTTGAATTCGTCATGGTCACTGAGTCGCATCACTATCTTGGTCTCATGCGCAATCACTCCCGCCCTGCAGAGTTGTGACTGAGAGTGATTACGCAGGAGGCCGTACGGCTCGCTGCCAGCACTCGGCTGGCAGGATCGAAGGATGAAGCATTCGACGAGCCTGGATCTCTTCTGTCCTACCCTCCCGAAGGAGTCTGCGACGTCCATCCTTCGATGCCCTTCGTTAACACCTTGCTGGGTCTACGAATGCGGGAGCTCCCTTGAAGCTACCAGACAGCCTTGACATCACCTATGATGCTACGATAAGCATGGGCAACGGCATCAGGGAGCTATCGGTGTCGGTGAAACTGCGGATGGGCCATCATCTTTTGACGGCCGGAAGTTGCCTGGGAGCGGACAAAGTTCATGGAGATGCATGGATCAATTCAACAGGGGTGCGTGGCATGAAGTGGCTAACTAAGACTGCGAACATGCATAGCATGGAAGCGTCGCGTCCACCTGGAGTGACGCTTTGCAAGTTACCAGGCAAATAACACGGCGGCACAAAACAACAACCGGCAACGGCAACAAATGGCAACAAAGATGCTTCAGTGGTTAAAGTGGCCACCGTCTGCATCAAAGGCACTTTCCTGAGTAGTTTAACCATATGTTCACCATCATGTCTGCTCAGGAGCCGTAGCAGCGGCAGCAGCAGCAGCAGCTGTAGCAGTAGCAGCGGTAGCGGTCGTGGTAGGGGTCGTGGCAGCAGCAGCGGTAGCAGTAGTGCTAGCGGTAGAGGTAGCGGCAGTGGTGAGTTGCTGTTGTCGTTGTTGCTGGTGCTGCTGTTGTTGCTGTTGCTGCTTGAGCAACAATAGTACTATAGTACTACCACTACTGACAAGAAGGATACAGACAACATAAAAATAGCAAAAACAAGAACAAAAGAATTGTAAGAATAAAAACACCACTCGGGCTGACGATGGTTGCACGAACAAAGTACTTGATCATGCCTGTAGCCGAAACAAACACCCTGAACCCTCAACCTGTTCAACCGTTGAATCTGCAATCCCTGGCTCTGGCCTTCCATCACGACTTGTTGGAGCCTCACGGGCAGTGCAAACCCTCTCGGCTTCAGGTTTCAAGCTAAACCCTAAACCGCAGAAACCCTAGAGCTCAGAACTCTTGTAAGCCCTATGGCTTATGAACCAGATGCCGTCTGGGTCGAGGTCCTACACTCTGACGCCCTTAGAAGTCCCTGCAAAGAAGCCTCGCCGGGCGCCTTACTAGTACCAACCTTCCACTGACGGAGGCAGGCCCCCTGGAACACCCTCCACATGCTCCATGAAAATCACAAAGACCACCGGCCTTGAAACCCAAAAGCCTCCACCGTTCCTCCAGCAGGGCCCTCACCCGAGGCCCCAAGCCCGACACCCGAAACGGGAAGCTTCACCGGATTGAGCTGCCGGCCGCTGTGACCACCGCTCAGGTTGGGGTCGGTAGGCCTCAAAACGAGTGGGGAATACTGAATACCATGGCAGTGCTTCAATGGCTGCTGTGATTCATGTCCACGGTGAACCCGTGATTCATATTATGGCTCATACAATCTCGTCCCGGCACGAAACTGTATCAACCCCGGAACATGTAAGCCTTACACCAGCAGCCTCACAAACTCCAGAAACCCAAACCCCCAACACCCCCCCCCGACTCTGGACCTCCGAGCCCCAAAACCCCCTACTCCCCTGAACAGCAGCCGCAGCCTGAGACACCCGGCCTCCCCTTCAGGGTGCTGCTGCCCGCCCCGAGCCCCAGCGTCAGCGACTCCGGGTTCTCGTCGCTGTTCGTACCCCTGAAAGGAGGGCTATGGGTTTTGGGGGGCAGGGCTTACGGTTTCTTTTAGAGCTCCTTTTTCCTAGAGGCAGCATCCAGGGCTTACGTTTAAGGCTTGGGCTTTGGCTTGAAGGTCTGGGATTCAGGGTTCACGGCCTGGGTCTTAGGGATTGAGGACTTGGGGCTCGGAGCTTAAGGTTTTAGGGTGTAAGCTGTCAGGGTTTAGTTTTTAGGGTTTTGGGACTGCCGAAGAGGAGGTTTCTTTCTGAGCATCCAGAGGCGGATGCGAGTTCGGGCCTGGGGCCCTGCCGCTGGAGTTTAGTCATCTCTTCTGTTGCTTCTAAGCTCGTGTTGCCTAGTTTAACGGGGGAGGTGTAGAGGACGCAGGATGATGGAGGATTGGCGTGCGGCAGTTGGAGATGAAAGAACTTTCGGGCACAGAAAACAGCACTCAACATCTGCATTTGGATCGGCACTGTACTTAGGCGTGTGTATTTCTTGACCCCGAAACCGAAGCCCTGAAGCCAAGCGTAACCCTCTCCGGCCTGCGTCGAACATCATCTTCACCTGCCCAGTGCAACACTCTCGCACGACTTTGCCTGCTCATGAATCCAGGCTCTCTCCGAACAAAACGTCCAAGACCCTGCCGCTCTCTGAGGAAGGTGCTTCGCTGGTAGAGGAACTTCACGCGCTCCATGAAGCCCCTCTCATCGAAGAGGGCCTCTTCCTGACGTCGGCTTGGAGGGACGAGTTCGGCACGAGAAGTCAGGCCACAACCGCAACCTGCATCCGATCTGCATAGCAAACACTAAGATGCGCCGGCCATTCGTTTGCTACGGCCTATGTCGCTTTGCGCGTCAGCTTCTGCATGGCAAATGCAGGATCCTGGCTCTCCGCCCTACCCTATGAAGACAGCGAAGGCCTCCTTGGGCTTCTCCCGGCCCAGCTGCACGGTGCTGTGCATCTCCTACCACGCAGGCAAGCAGGTTTGCAGAGCCTCTCATGTGTGGGCTTCTCAAAGGCCCACAATTGTGCTCCCCGGCGGCTTGATCATGCTGGCCATTTCAGGTTTGGGAATCTGCTGTTAGGGGGTCGAGAGTTGAAGGTGACCTGGGAGCGTGCGGAAGGCGAGGCAGGCTGAACGAACTCTGAGCTTAAAGTACTAGACGTTGCAGTACTGAGCAGGCTCATTCATATTTTAATATGGCGGTTGTCCGTGTACCCCTTATGCAAGACTGAAGATACTAATAACGCCCAGTCTCTGATGCAATACAGAGATATCCGTTAATAAACTCTATGATAACACAACCTACCATTAATGCTATACTACACCTAAAGTCCTAAAGTATATCCGATTATCCCAAAACTCCCACACATCGGAAGCTCCGCCTGCAGATCTTCCACCCGCTCGATAATCTGCTTGAACATCTCTTCCAGACGCACGTCGCTCTTGTCACCGCGGACAGGAGCGAACTTGACATCTGTGGCGTCCTTGAGTGAAGGCATGGGCCCAGTCTTTGGAGTTGAGGCAGCTGGAAACCACGATCAAACGCTAAACAACCCAGCTTCGCTACAGGTAGAAATGACTGAGGCGGGGACCAGCATCGCCTGGCAGTCAATCAGAGGTCAAGCATACAAGCGCGTGCCTCGTGCTTGGCAGAAGCCAATGGTCAGTGCGGTGATTACAGAATTTCGCAGACCCCACAACGCTCTGCCACAGGCCCGTCAATGCCTGTAACCCTCCCCAACAAGGCCTGGCCTTCTTCCGCTGAGGCAGTCTGCAAGAGTTGACTGTGCGAGAGAAGAGCTGCTCGATGGCCATGGAGATAACTCCGACCTCATCGGGTTAGTTTTAGGAGCCTTACTGCACGCGGTGGATTATTGTAGGGAGATTGTAGGGCTACTACTCAGGTACTACGAGGTCACCAAAGAGATTGGCAGGTCTGGTGGTCTGGGAATCGGGCTTCGCACCCTGAATCCAAACCTGCAGCCTTAAACCCTAAACTGCACCTAGAAACCCTAGACTCTTAGATCTCAACAACTTGAGCCCAAAAAAAAAATCCTCAACCCCCCCCCCCCCCCCCCCCCCGAACCCCAACACCCGAAAACCATGGACCCTAAACCCAAGCAAAGCCCAGCATAAATCCGAGAATCCTAAACCACACCCCTCAACGCCCTAAACCCCCAAACCCTGGCCTTTAGTAACCCCAGACGAATCCGAAACTAACCCTTTGGTATACCACCTGCCCCTCCCCAAAACCCTATTCTAATTCCCAGGCCCTTACAAGATCACCGGAAATCCTAAACCCTAAAACTCCCAACCCTATACCCCAAACCCCAAACCCTAATGTAGGAACCTGATGAAGAAACCTTGGGGTTCCTTGTATGAATCCGGCTACTTTGGGGCTACAGGCCCAGGGTTCCTTAATCAGGTTCCTACCCTAAACCAAAACCCTGATCCCCCTCAAACCCGAAACCAAGATCCTAAACCCTAAAGCTCCAAACCCTATACCCTAAACCCTACGCCAGGGGTTTAGGCAACAATAATTGTTTTAAAGTCTAGGGTTTAAGGTTCCGGGGCTCTTCAAACTTCCCAGCTCAGCCCCTGAAGGCTCATCCCCCCCAGCCCCTCACCTGGCTCTCCTTCAGCTCCTTCTCTTCCAGAGCCCGGTTGAGGCGCCCCTCCAGCTCCTGGAGCCGCCCCCAAAAGCTTGGTTTTCGGTTTGAAGGTTTTTTAGGGTTTAGGGTCTAAGGGTTAGGGTTTTGGGTTTAGTTAGGGTTTATGGTTGTTTAGGGGTTGCTTGTTTAAGCCCTCTTTTGCGTTAGAGGGCTTAGCGTTTAGGGTTGTTTGTTTTGAACCCTTTTTTCCGCCTGCCCGGCAAGAGTGGTTGGAATGCCATGATGGCTGAGGGGTGGTTTCTGAGGGTTTAGGGTTTAGGGTTGTTTATGCCCTGTTTTCCTTTGGAGGTGAGGGTTTAGGGCTTAGGGCCATAACCGAAAGGTCTGAGAGTGGTTTGGGGCTTCGGAGGCAGAGGCTCGCGGAATCCGTGCTCGGTTCTGGATTCCAGGGGTCTGAGAAGGCATCTATCAGTCTACTTCTGAAAGAGTACGGACATCCAGCCTTCGAAACATCTCAAATCTGTTTCCGTCCTGGCTCTCTTGAAGATGTTGCTCCAGCTCCACCTGACGCAAGCGCACATGCTGGAGCCTCAACATTCCCAAAGGAGCCTTGCGTTACTCTTCCCAGGTCGTGCCCTTGAAGCTTGCGGTAGACTCTGCGAACACACATGGCCTGGCATTTGTGCAGCTGGCTGCTGATGGCCAGGTGCTCATTCTGCCTGTCATCACACTGCGAGGTCTGTCTGCAGTACCCTGTGTTTGAGGCTGGGCCCTGCAGGTTCCAAGCCATGTCGCAGGATTGCTTAAACATCAGTTACTGCCGCAAGCCGTGATCTGCACAGGGAGACTGCCGCCTCTGCAAGCACAGTACACCAGGATCAGAAACGGAATCCCTTCGCGAAACCTCTGCGGAAAGAACTCGGCTTTGAGCTGAGCTGCAGCTTTGTCTGAACTCGCGCACATTCATCACGGACGCGGTCCAACCGCATGGAGAGGTCGTCATTTCCTTGGGTCAGCTCCTCTCGCACAGGGTGGACTCTAAGCTCCACGAGGCTTCAGAAAATCGGATCTCAAACAGAATGTGCGAATGTGGGGTGTACAGCTGCAGAACCAAAAGCGCTGGGTGTCTATATACTTCGGATCTCGGATTTTCTGAAACGACCCCCGCTCCTGGCTGCCTCCCTCCAACGTCGCGTAGCGATTCATCAGGACCTGGCGAGAAGCGCCCCAGGGAGCTGATAGCGTCTCTGCTACCGCCGGTCATGCAACATGTAAGAGGAGGTGATGTGATATAATGTAGTATGATATCATATGGTACCTTACAATATCATATACCGTCATACAATGTATTTTAGTATCACATAACATACGATATAACAACACAAGACAGTACAATTTGGTATGGAATAAGTTGGTACAATATCATATCTTGTTGTCATACAGTGAAACATAACATGATACAGTGTGACATTGCACAAATATGGCACATGATACAGACGACGTGCGGTTGAACATCGATTGTAACTCTCGCAGTTAACAACTACATAAACGTGCTTCGTGCATCGCCATTTCAGTCAGTCATGTTAGTTGAGTTTTTCCGTCGGTCGGCCGAGAAGTATGTAAGCAAGCAAGCAAACATGTAAGGTCGTGCCCACGTATGTACCGTACGTTCGTGTATAGGCACTAAAGGTATCTATACATGTATGACTGTATGTATGTACGTATGTTCTTGTAAGTTCATATGTATGTATATAGGTATGTGCGTATGCTTGTAGGGAGATGGGTAGCGCAGGTCCTGTAGGTGGGTAGGTAGGTAGGTTGGTTGGTTCAAGGGTAGGTAGGTAGGTAGGCGGGTAGGTAAGTAGGCAGGTAGGCAGGTACAGGTAGGTATAATTATAGGCGGCTATAGGCAGCAGGTGTAGAACGACTGCCTTTGTGTACGTACACACACACACACACACGCACGCACCCACCCCTCTGCATGCAACTAGTCATGTGCTTGTGTACACATACACATACGCTGTTCTGCTGCTGCTGAAGAGCGAAAGGTGCCCTATCCTCTCACTTGGTCGGCCTCGATGTCATCCCCAAACTCTTCCTGGCTTTCGTGGATCACATGCTCGAGGAAGTTCTTGTATTGCGCCTGAGCAGTGAAGACTCATAGGAGCCTCAACGCGGTGTTCACAATAGCTATCTCCCCTCTTCTAGTCACTTAATCCACCTTGCAGTACCCTAAACCCTAAACCCTTTATAGTCCCCCTCTGTGATGGCACAAGATCCCCTCTTTCTTGCTCTCGAAGGGGCCATCTTCCCGATTTTCGCCTGCTCGGTGTCGCGCTGCTGCTCCTGAAAAGGGAGAATGAGAATGGGGTATATATAGTATATAGCATATAGTATTTAGTACATAGTATAGTGAGGTATACTATAGCATGGTACAGTATAGTAGAATAGTATAGTATAGTATCGCACAGTTTTGTTAGTGAAGTATGAAATTTTAAACCTTACAGTGGTATAGTAAAGCGTAGTCTCGTATAGTATTGCACCGGGGGAACAGGGCAGCAAAGAAGGGTTTAGGATCCAATGTGAATATAACATATTTTTGCTACTTCAGGCTCCTACAGAAATCGGAGGGCGCCGACCCGGCAGAAAAATACCCGAGTCTGAGACTTTACAAATATTCCGGCTCAGCCCGACTTAACTTGGAAATGGCAGTGGCGTCCCTTTACGACAGAGACAGCACGAAGAGACTAGTGCTGGTCTACCGAACCACCCCATCGACAGTTTCACCAACCCCATTTTTGGCCTCAGCATCTAAACCCTAAAGCCTGACCCTGGCCCCATTCAACCAACCAGCCGAACCGAAAAAGCCTTTCAAATCCTGCAGTACAAACAAAACCCTCAAGATCCCGAACCCCCGGCGCCATCTCCCGCCCTCTCCCGCCCTCTCCCCCTACTTTACTATACTATGCTATGCTATATTATACTATACTATACTATATCCCTCTACCCCCCCCCCTGGTATGCCCGGCCTTCTCTTGGAGCTCCTTCTCCAAAGCCCGGATCTCCCCATCCAGGCGCCGACTCTGCGCCTCCGAGCTTCAGTTGCAGAATGAGGTCCTACTATGCGTTTTGAAGGCTTGCTTATGGGGCTGAGTAAAGGGAGCATGAGGCATGGTGCTGAAAGGGTGCTGTATCTACAGCCGGCTAAAGTTCTGGATTTAAGCTTCCGCACCATATGCCGTATATCACTGCAATGGTAACTTAAGTTATGACCCTTCACCCGCTTATAGAGCCCTCATAAAACGCGGAACCTCTGCAACCACCTTATCAAACACCCTCACACATCCCTTCCGTCATCTGAAACCCTTACAAAGCCCTTATGGGAGAATTTTGGAGAACCCTGCAAACCCCTAAGCCCCTCTAACACCCCTCAAAATACACCGAAGATGCTGGCGGCTTCACTTCAGCCGCAGCCTGCTCATCGAGCGCCTTTCTCTCGCCTTGTTTGACTTCAGGATTTTCGGGCTTTAGGGTTTTAGGTTTTGGGTTAGGGTTCAGGGTGTAGGGTTTCGGGTGTTTTGTCTTCATAGGGTTTGTCCAGGGGTTTCATCAGGCTTCCTTAAGGCTTTTCTTGTCGGATTCGATAACGGTGTCTCTTAAAGGTTTTTTGAATGACGAGTGATCTTTAAGGGTGTTGTAAGGGTTTGCGGGCTTGTGCATCAAGGGCGTTCGGGGCTCAGGGCTTTCCGGGTACGATGGTGGTGCTTGTTGAGGTGTTGTGGGTTAGGGTTTCGGGCTTGCTGAGAGTTGTCGGATGTGGCTTTTGGTGCCTAGAGCCTTGAAGAATTTGAGGGGGCTGGGCCGCTGGATTAGGCATAGAATGCGGGCTCATTGTATTCCGGCACCGACAACGGCTGCAGTTGGCATGTGCGCTTGCGTGTTTGGGTAGGAGTTGCAAGTAGGGTTTGCACGGGTATTAAAAGGGATTTCTGCAGGGTTCGCAAGGGTACTGCATCGAAATGCACTGCAAGACCTGGGCTATTCCTGGCGCTAAGACTGCGACCACTACCTGGGGATTTGCAAAACACCCTCAGGCCCGAGCTCTTTTCGATCTGTGCCTCGAGATCCTGCAGCGACTTCCTCACGGCCGGGCAGCTCTTCATGTTGCATGTTTTTTTCATACTATACTATGTCACTATGTTATATTCGCAGCTTTCGAAGGCAAGCCTAAGCAGGAAAAGAAGGGAAGCTTGGATCCGGACTCGGGGCGCTGAGTTTCTTGAAGTGGCGACAGAGCTTCAATGTTGAGGGAAAAAGCCCCCAGTCACCTACCTAATTGAGCCAAGCATCTGGTTGTCCAAGACATGGCGTCTCAACTCTTCCTGTTTCTTCATGAACATCATCTCCTTCTCCTGCGATTCGACTCCCGCCTAAAGGCCATCAAGTTCCTTGATGAAGGGACATTCCGTAAGTTGAACAGGGATCTTTGACAAAGAACCCTTGCAAAAAGTCTATATCATGTATGTTAAGCAGCAAGCTAAATCACGACCCGGAGGCGTGCCTTGCAGAAGGCCAGCCGCGTCTCAACGCTTTTCCGCGTGGCCTCGCTTCGGAGGGGTGACTCCAGAGCCCATTAAACCTCAACTCTAGAACAGCCTAGCAGCGTGGGGGCTGAGCTGTGGGAAATCCAACGTGCTGCCAGGCACACTGCACCACTATGAATGCGAACATGAACCGCTTGGCCATCACCACGAATAGCAGCTGCAGCAGCAGCAGCACAAGAACATCATGACGTTCATCTAGATGACGAAATGATAGTGACGATAACGACGAAGATACGATGATGACGAAGATAAAGATGGTGACGACGCTTTTGATGCTGACGACAACGGCGATGAACATGGCAATGATGGCGATGCAGATGAAGCTAAAGACGACAATGAAGAAGAAGGAGGAAGATGAAGAAGGATGGAGCAGGCGGGAGGCGGAGGCGGAGGAGGCGGAGGAGGCGGAGGAGGCGGAGGAGGCGGAGGAGGCGGAGGAGGCGGAGGAGGCGGAGGAGGAGGAGGAGGAGCAGGAGGTGTTGATGCTCATGACGACGACGATGACGATGATAGCTGTAGCAGTGGTGCTGGTAGTTCTGGTAATGGTCGCAGTATCTGCACGACGCAAGCAAAAAGATCCGGCCTTCAGCGCAAGTTGCGCCTCGCGGTCCTCGCTCAGGCGGTGTTCTTGTGGTTATGTGTTTTCCGAGTTTTGCGTGTCGGAACCGTGATGTAGTGGGATCTAGGATTCTGAATCGCAGATATTCGGGATTAGATTCGACCGGAACGTGCCGCCCGATGAACCCAAGCCGGAGATCCAACTTCGCTCCATTGGCAAAACCTGTCTGCGCGCCTCGCTTTCGACCCTCAGGAGCTGAGTGGACTGGTTCTCCTGCAGACTCGCAGCTACGAGTGGATGCATCATGCAGGGCCTGAAACCATGAAGCGTCCAGCCTCGTGCAGCGCGGAGAGAATGCCACGCAACTGTGCAATCTTCTGGTCCTAAGCACAACGCTTGGGTTGAGATTGAAAGACAGGTGGGCTCCTCTGAAACAGAAAGCTTGAAACCTCCGTCTCGTCCAAGCTGCATCTACGGGCTGCCACTCGTCATTGACGTCGATCTTGCAGTGCTTGTCCAGGAGCTTCTTCGCCTGGCAAGGGCCCTGATTCAGTGCATCCCAACACTCGCATAATCCGAATGCTTGGAGTCTCGTGCTCCGAAGTGTCAGGCCCGAGTAGGACACGACCAGGTCCAGTCGGGTTGTAAGCACTTCGGCCTCCGTCCGTCTCGTGCCGTTTTCACTTCAGCTCCAGGCAGGTTGCAGATGCCAGGGCTGGTAGACGTGGCACGCGTGATTCCGGTGACAGGCAGGCTCCATTGCCAGTCAACTTCTTCTTGACCATGTCGCGCTGCGACGAGCACCAGGAGGAGGAGCGGGAACGCTTGTGGTTCAACGAGTAAGCATGCTGCATGAGTAGTAATCAGCGATTGTGGGTTCTGAATCTGAGGCCACGGCGTGTCTCTGAAACTCCGTCTTCGGCTTTCCATCCCCGGGCAGCGCAAGCGCATGGGAGGCGGCGGGCATGGCCCAAGGACGAAGGAGCCCTGGAGGTATCCTAAAGCTTAGAACCGTAGAGCTTCCTCCGATGGGTGCAGCTTAAGCTGAAGCTCGCATCCTGGAGGTAAGTGTAGGGATTTCATGCCGATGCTGCTGTCCATGCTGCAAGGCTTCTCGACATCTGAGGAAGACGTGGCTTCGCCACGTGCACGTGTTGCAGGCATCCAACCAGGAAACCCCTGCCCAAACCGAAATCCTGAACAGTCCAGCCATTTCGGCCCTGATGGCCCCCTGCCGCGAACTCTTGTAAACCCGAACGTCTTCTGCATCTGTTACGTCCTTCATTAAGCGACAAATCACCAAAACGCCTGCTCTCTCTCTCTCTCTCTCTCTCTCTCTCTCTCTCTCTCTCTCTCTCTTCTTCAGCACAGGCAGAGGGGAGCACTCTCTCTCTCTCTCTCTCTCTCTCTCAAACTCTATCTCTAGCTCGTGCTTCGCCTTAGACCCGTACGCAAATTTCATATGTTTGTATCGATCCCTACGAAATCCTAAACCTGAAAAGATACACTACCATGGAGGCAATCATACTCAAAATCAAACTGCATATGGCTCCCTTACACAAATATTCATACCATGCGCCCGTCTTCACGTCCACAGCCATCTTGACGAGAACACCTCCTCGCTGAGACTCGCACCTGCCGCTGCTCGTCGGTGAGGCCGTCGTCCGGCTCATCATCCGAAGGCGCCTTCCGGGAATTTGGGGTTGGGTGAGGGAGGAGTCGGGTAAATGTTTCAGGAACGGCTGGGGAGTGTGCCGTAAAGCGAGGGCCAAGCCGGGACCCTAGTTGGGAACATCCTCCCCGTAAACCCCTTCAGCATCCTTAAACCCTATAATTCCTAAAACTCCTCCGCAAAACACTGAAACCCCAAGCCCGTCCTAAACCCTAAAACGAGGCCATGCTGCCGCATCCCGTCTCAGCCCGGCATAAATTCAAAGCCGCGATTGCTCAAATCCGGCCAACCCCTCAAACCTGAAACCCGAAACCATGGAAGCCCCAGGCCCCAAACAGCCTGGAAAGCCCAGAGAAACGGAAGCCCCAAAGCCCTTGAAGCCCCAAACCACGGCGGATCCTAAATCTCACAACCCCCCAGCACTCCATCGAAGGACTGCCTCGGGAAGCGCAACTTCCTCAAACCTTGCGGACAGGAATTGGAGAGACACGAGTTCATATAGAGGCAGAATAATTTCAATAGGGTTTCGGGGGCACTTATACTATACTGGTAATGAGGACCCCCCAAAATAGTATTGGTAATTATTTAGGCCCCTATATTCGGGTTCCGGGGTTCTGGAGTTTGGGGCCCTCTTGAATCCTTTGAGGCTTGCCTGAGGGTTTTCGAGTTGAAGTGCTAGGGGCCGGTTGGGGCCTGGGGTTTGGGTTCTGTTTAGGGTTTAGGGCTTTGGGTTTTAAGGTTTCAGGGTTTTAGGGTTTAGGGTTTGGGGTCTAGGGTTTAGGGTTTAGGGTTTTCGGGTTTAGGGTTTTAGGGGTTTAGAGTTTAGGATTTAGGAACCTTGACCGACCCACATCCTTGCAGGTAGCGCTTGAAGCCTGGGCTGCACAAAGAACTAACTGGTTAAACAAAGAGAACACGAGAGTTCCACATACGTATACACAACACACACGCCATTGAACCTTGCAATCCCTAAAACGTGAATGAACTGTAACCTTCCGCACTGGAGTTACATGTTGGTATGTCTCTGCGATCCGGCCTGGTGTGCAGAAGCGTTCTCCAAAAAAAGAAACAGACCGAAAAGCTGCAAACCTTTGTTGTGAAAGAGAGCTGCCTCCTCGGCGCAGTTCCACCGCAGCTAGCACAGACGAAGTCTGGAAGTTGAAAGGGGCACATCCTGAACGTTGCGGAACCTACAGTGTGGAGTAGGGGCCTTCAGGGTCTAAGTTCTCGGTTCTCAGCACCAAGGGCTATGGCTGCGTGCTTGCTCCGAATCCCAGGGTTTGGACTGCACTTCTGCTCTTTTGGATCATTGCAGGCTTCCGGCCTCGTCTGCCCACACTGCACGCACACCTCGTTTTTGGGGGTCTTGATGGGCAAGCTTCTGGGAGGAACTGAGCTCAACTTCACGCGGTCGCAAAATGTCAAGGCAGTTGCGACAGAATGCCTGCCCTTGAGATGCGAGCATTTTCGTGTAGCATGTCGGTGCGGCACTCGAAACCCGCGTCACCACCTCGGTGGAAAGGGCGACCAAGGCAGCTTGATGGTCATAGCTCCCGGGCAAGACGTGATCCCGAAATCTCTGATCTAGCACGGTACATCCTGAAACAGAGACCCTGGATAGGGCCTCATGCATGCAGATACACATGCGAGACTCTAGACTCGAAAGCAGGCCCCACAGCTGAGCCGGCCGCAGACGAAGTTCGAGCTGAGGTCGAAGGGCAACTCTCCTCACTAACGTGCCCTACCACACAGAAAACACTCCTGGACCGAAGGAAGAAAACAAAGACCTCAAACTACCTCAAAGGATCAACCCCCCATCGAACCACGTTGAGATCCCATCACAGGCGCCAGGAGCAAAGAAAAAGCACAAAGGGTTTCTTAGCTGTGCGGCAGGTTTCCCGAGTTTCTCTTGCTCAGTCGAAGAACAAATCTGTGGAGAGTGTGGGGGGTAGTCCTTCCAGTCTGTCTGGAACTGGGGGCCTGTGGTCAGTCTCTTCTTTGACCCCCCTCGGCTTAAGCCCAACACGTTCTGCACCGCAGTCGGCGCAAATGTTGACGAACATCTCGTGCTCGCCCTGCAGATCTTCAGAAGAACTTGTGGCTGCCATGCTTGCAAGGATATGTCTAAGCTCGAGCACAGCGAGAGCCGGATCCATGCCCTTTACTGGCCTCGAAGTTGCCAAAGCGGGCATCGCAGTCGAGACCCACGTCGCGACCTCATCATCCGAGCTTCAAACCCGAAGGGGTGACCTTGCCATCTCTTACAGGGCTCTGAAGAGGGTTCCTATTTCATCACGGGCGAGCTGCAGACGAAGCCCTCCCCGAGATCGAAGGGCAGGTAGCGAGTCTGCTGGCACCAGGTGCAAACCTCAGAGTCTGAGAGCTCCGGCTCGCTCCATCTGCGTGGCAAAGACACTGAGAGAGGGATGCACAAGACCAGCTGGAACCCAATCGAGGCTCCTACGTTGGTACAAAGGTCGTCCTCTCCTGCACGACATCTTTTGCCCAGCGTGCAATGCCATGACAACACAAAGGAACCCTCATGCGGCGCCAGGGTATTCCCGGGACAGCAAGATCCCTGCCGTATTAGGAGGCCCTAATCAAGCTGGAGGTTCCTTGACTGGAAGGACTCACAGTCTACCATACTATCCCTTATAGCTTCTACACTCATCCCCGCAACCCCTGTTCTTGACCCTTTTAGAATTCTCTAAAGCACACAGAGTTTTGATATCATAGGACAGAAGAGCATCCAGGAAGTCATTTTCGAAGGGCAACCCGTCTGCTCTAACATCGGAGGCAGATTGAAAAGCAAAACACAGAGAAGGGCTTCTGGGCTTCTTGGCATAAGCCGGGTTGTTGATTGCCATGTCAACAACTCTATTTCGCCCTCAAGCCTTTCGAAGTTGAATCTCAAGACGCAAAGATGTACATGTGGCCGTCCTCCACAATCACTCTCTGAGTCCTGCCCAGGGACAGCAGCGAAGAACGCATAGATCAGCCCGAAAAGCCAAAGCACAATACCCACCAGCCGCACCCTGTTGCTGAGCACGGCACCCTTGTGCACTCGAAGCCAGCATCTTCACACCTCGGCGTCGAATACGGGATGTGGGCATTTAGGATCCGCATGCGACTGCCTGGCCAGGTCTTTCCCCCTTTGCTGAGGTCCTCGCACGAAATTCTCCCGGAGATCGAACCTGCGACCCCAACACGGACCGCCTACCAAGCCCCGTCCAACGGCTGCTGGAAGCTCCCGGCGGGAGGATGCGGGTCTCTCCGCCTCAGGTGTTGCGATGCATCCACCAGCAAGATCTGCTTCGGGAATCCTACTGCCCCCTCAGGCTGGCCACCTCATCAACCGTGTTTTTGTGGTATCATGGACCCTAAACGGCCCTACACCCTAAACCGCAGAGATTCCGGGAGCCCTGCACCAAGCGCAAACGTTTGCAAACTCGCCCGGGCCACACCTGGCAAGGATGTTAGCAAAATGCTGCCTACCAGGGGAGAAAATGGAATAGGGTTTCTTCAGGTGCAAAAAAGGGATCCATAGTAAATCCTCTCAAGACCTCTTCAGGAGGCTTTATAATTGGAATAGGCGTCTTTTGAAAGTTCCGTTTCCAGGGGTCTGTAAAGGTCACTACAAGGTTAAATGCAAGGGTTGATTTAGTATTGGGGCTGAATTGGAATAGAGTTTTGGGGTCTCTTCTACGTGTTTTTTATTACCTGTAGTTGCTATGCCTCAGAGGCCCTACACCCTGAGGGCCAAACCCTAAACCCAAGGAGAGTTGCGCTGTTCTTGAGCTGCTACCCTCCGAGAAGCTCAGGTCTCGGCCGCGGCGGCGGCTGCGCAACCGGCTCCAAAAGACCTGACCTTTGCAGCAGTTTGCTCTAGGAGGGGTAAGGGTGGGCGGGGGGTGGGGCTGAGGGCTTAAAGGGTTGCGATGTTGAGGTTTTAGGACTCTAAACTTGCATTTTGTTTCGGAAACCTATGGTAGAAAAACTCTATCATGACAAAGACCCTCAAGGAACCTTAATATAAAACAACTCTGAAGAGCTGCGTGCGACGCTTTGCAGGCATACACTGCTTAGGATACAGGATTTCGGGCTTAGGGTTCAACCCAGTACGTTGCGGCTCAGGCTGTACAACCAGCGATGTGTAGTACATGTCATCCGCTCGGCTGCTCATTTATCGTGAAGATACGGGGACTCGAAAAACAGTAGGATCCTTAGCACAAGAACCTCTATTCCAACACCAGAAAACCCAAACAAGAAGACATAGATCCAGCAACATTTAGCCCAAAGAACCACCGATCTCCAGGACTGTTTTTACCAGTTCAAAGCTTCGCCCGAGCGGGCGACGAGTTCCAGATCCAGGATCGGGTCTCTCTGCTGTGCATGCGTGCATGGGTTCCAGCTCTCAAACCGGGAACGGCTTGGGAGCTCGGGTTTGCCATTGGGTGTATGTCTTATGGAGTTTAGGACTCAGGGTTTGGGGCCTAGGCTTTAGGGTTTGGGGCTTCTCGAGATAAGTCCCCTGCCAGTCTGGTATCCCCGGGTCCTCCGAAAGGAGATCGCCGGAGCGCTGAGGTGAGGTATCTTTGGAGTTTGGGTTCCAGGGTTCTGCGTGGGTGACCCTACACCCTCGAGCTTTGGCTTCGGTTTCCGGATTTCCTCTGTCAGAATTCATGTTGACGCACAATATACCGAGAATAGAAGCAGCAATAAGGTCGTGACAACACGCACTGTGACTGTTTCTGTAATGAACGTGGCACTAGAAATGCGAGTACCAAGAAATCAGCCGCAGGGCTAACAAACCCCTCTGAACCTACCGGCGAACATGCAAGATCAAAGCCCTTACATACAATCCTTACAAGATCCTACAGATGACTCCATAAGTCTGAATAACCTTACCAAATCCGTGTGGCAACCTTTGGAGTAATCCTTGTAGTATCCCGTAATTAACTACTGTAACTCCATCGTAACCTTTCGAGGAAACCCTTATAGCAGCAGTAGCCATTATTTTAGTAGTCATTGTACGAATCCCGTCCGGGACCACCTTATGAGTTGCAGTTCTGGTAACCCTTATTTAGCACAAGACAGTCCTTATAGCAACCATGCGTAGTAAGAAGGGTAGTTCTCTACAAAAAGACTCTTGGTTAGGTCCCCAAGATAGTACGGCACCCTTGTACAAAGGGCCGTAAAAGGGACCCTAATTTAGAGAACTACCCGTAGTATATGACCCCCTAGCAGCCCCCACTCCTCGAGGTTTAGGTCGCCCAGTAGAGCCCTCAGCTCCGCTCCGTTGAGACCGTGGAGGAGGGAGGCAGCCTTCGATGTGGGAGCATAAAGGACTACTATAAGTTATAGGGTTATCATGAGGGAGTACTATAAGGGCTACCATAAGGAAGTACTCTGAGGGCTACCATAAAGGAGTACCGCAAGGACTACCATAGGGAGCACTATACGGTCGACCATCACCGAGCGTTACGAGGATTGCGAAGGGGTGCTGTGAGGGTTACATAAGGGAGCACTATGAGGGTTACCAAGCGGACTTGCAAAGGGTTACTATTTTGTTACTATGGGGGTTACCATAAGGGCTGCCATTGCACAGAACCCAAGGCCCAAAAAAAGCAACATGGGAGCGGGTTTTCGGTCTTGGGTTGAAGCCTTCTGGCTTGGCATGCTCTGTACTGCACAGACGTGCTTGAAAAGGTGGGTCTCAGTACATCGGAGAGCCACTTGGGTTTCCTGATCGTCCTGCGACGTGGTGTAACATGTCATAGTGAGCACATACTGTCAATTTCTTGAAATGGCAGAATATGCATAAACTACAACATACTCCGCAATCTTCGCTGAGGCTACTTCACGATTTGACGTTTGGGTGGTTCTCGCCTCTCCAAAAGTTCGGTGCTAGAACCGGTGGGATACGAGTGCAGAACCATCCTGGCATAAAGGGAGCGAAGGGTGCTGCGCAAGCCAGGCCCTGCAATCTGGAACCTAGAGTCTCAACACCTAAAACTCCGACCAAAAACCCTAATCCTGAAAAAGCCCCTGGCCATCCTGATGGGTACTTACAGAGTTCCCAACATGGCCCTTGAGCTTACAGTACTCCTGACAAGTTAAAAGCTACCTAATCCAGGCGCCTTAATATTTAGAATAGGCTTTTGGGGCCCATCATACCATAGCTATAAGAAGGAACCGCCAAAACGGTATAGTATAGGTAATTACTACGGTCCCTACTTTAACTATATTACTCCACTAGGACGTCTCCGACTTCAGGATCCCGCCTCCGAAGTCGCCTCTTCGCCGAGCAGGGAGCACAGCTTCCAGGAGAGTTCCGCGGGACTGTCCTGGAATGGACATAGTTTAGTTTAAAGTTTAGGATTTAGAGCTCAGGGTTATGGATAGACTCTTTTGGAAGATAAGTTGAGGGTTCGGGGTTGAGTGTGGTCGAAAACTAACGAAGAAACGAGTAAGCGTAGATGAACGCAAGAGGCATCGAGAGCATCCAAAAACTCGTCGTGCGAATAGCAAGAAGAGCATGAACAGTAATAGCAGTAGCAGTAGAAGCAGCAGCAGTACCAGTATAGCAGCAGCAGGAGGATGGGGAGGGGGAGGAGGAAGAGGAGGAGGAGCCGTGGCAGTAGCAGTCGCAGTAGCAGCTGCACCTGAAAACGAGATCAACACAGGCACCGGGCCTGCAGCCCTGTTCAACAAGCTTGCCTCCTCTCGTCCACCAACGATAAAAACGGCCCCAAAGACAGAGATCCCGAAGCAAAACCTACCAGTGACGGCTCCTCTCTGGGCCGAGCCACACACGCCATGGCTCTTGCGACGGAATCGGAACTGTTCTTGGGCTTTCTACAGTTGGGCTGGTAGGGTGTGCCATGGGCTCAGTCTTTGGCTGGAGGCTCAAGCCAGGCTGGAAAAGGTTTCAGGTCTGTTCCATCACTGGCTGTGAAAACACATCATAGTGGAGGGTTGCAGAGTGTTGGCTGCAGGCTTCGATGAGCTAAAGTAGCCGGGAAGCTATTCGGGCTCCTCGCCTCAAAACACTTACAGCCAAGACTAGCGCAGGCAGCACAGGCTGATTTTCGCAGCTAGTTGCACAACACGTGCGACCCCAAGTCATCATAGTGGCTCAGCATTGAGAGCCAGCTAAACCCTGAACCCGGCGGTTGTAAGAACTGTTTTGTTGCACAAACTCCGAATCAGCCAGAAGCGCCGCCACGGATCGCGAGATGGCAGCCATGACCTCAGTATCTTGTAGGTGTCATGCCGTAGTAGGAGTAGTAGTAGTTGTAGTAGTAGTAGTAGTAGTAGCAGCAGTGGCAGCATTGTCATGCCCGTGCCGCTCTCGATCTCAGCACTCGACTCCTTTGGCCAACAGCTCGGAGTGCTCCTTCATCTTCAGAGCCACGTCGTCTAAATCCTGAAGATAGGGTGCGGGGTTCCTGCTAAACCAGCGAAGGTCTTGAGGGAGCTTAAACCCTAAACCCTAAACTTTCCTAAACCCTGAAACCCGGTTTACTCAGTGTGCCGAATGGCCTGAAAGCTTGTCAAACTGGATCTACCCGCGTGCTCAAGAAGCCCATACTGTACGCAATACTGTCAAGTATGATGCCATACTATAGTCAGAGGAGAAACCTGGTATAGTGTAGGGAGCGAAGAGTGCTGAGTTGTCAGAGGATCCACTGAACAAGCGAAGGGCCCCGAATCTAGCGCAAATAGTCAAGTCGCTGCCACCGAAATCTGATGCAGCAAGTCAGGGATAGAGTGGCATCTGCCTGCCAGCAGCATAGGGGTCTATCTAGGATAGAGGGTTCTGGTTTTAAAGCTCCAGATACAGCATGCAGTGTTTAGGGGACAGAGGATTCAGAGTCTAAGATATGGGGTTTGGTGAGACTTCCTCCACCACACGGCTACCACCAACAGCATCCCTCCGACCGTTGCCGCGGAAAGGACAACCTCGAAAAGCCCGCGCCTACATGCGGAAAATGAGCGTAGTCCGAGTAGAAGTACCTGCGCTCTGCCATCCTAATTGGCTTACTTGGCAGCCCTCAATCCGAAACCCTAAAAGTGCGTTTCACAGTCTGCTACTGTCAAGCGCAGGTCAAGCGAGAAGAGATCTTCGGATCTGCCCGAACTTGAGCTCCCCGATGAAACCTCCAGCCTTTGGCTCTCCATGCCACTGCAAAAATGTGGGCGAAGGCAGGGGGAACCCCATACAAGAACTGAATGATTACTACACTACGGACCAGTAAGGCCGCATATCCCCAAACAGAAATGACCGGGGCTGACCAGTGATGAAGAGTTCGTGGGCTCTCCGACTCCGCATTGAAGCTTGTCGGATAGATACCTGGGCATCACACGGCATCCTCCTCTCTGCAAGCCCTGCCTTCCCAACCAAAATACTCCCGTAATGTACTTTACGACACTCTGGAGCATTATGGTATCTGTCTTCGAAAGGCTTGCAAAGGTTTCCGACGGATTCTTTTGGAGCCTCACGCCGTGTCGCTCGACACCTTGCGCTCTTTGGCGCTTTCGGCCCGGGCATGCACTGCGCGGAACCGCGTCACTCCGCCTGCAGGGCTTGGGCTTCAGTCACCGTTGGGGTCTAGGGTTTAGGGTTGCCGGTTGCTAGGTTGCAGCCAAGTGCAGATTCTGATACCCAGTAGCTTAAATGATACCTGACCGTCCAGTACCTGCCACGACGATATCCACCACTTCCAGAACGGCACCACACACACTGCACACTTCCAGAGATCATCCCTTGCAAACCTTCACAGCCTCAGAGGCGAGTACCACTACATCTGCTTCCTCCCTTTGGCCCTGCCGTCGCTGCAAGCCCAGATGGAAGACCCGCGGCCGCCGCGCTGCCAGGGGCCAGGGCCGACAGCTACGTCGTAGCAACGCCGGGGCTCCTGTGCAGTAGCGCAGTAGCATTCCGAGTTCCTGCATGGATCCTCTGGTCTAAGTGTCAGGTGTGGCCCCCACCATGCGCCTCGCAGCTTGAGAACCTTTAAACAAGGCATCCCTTTATCCCCATTTGCAGGAACGCGGGCAATTCACGAAGACGGAGCTGGAGACAGAGGACGACTCCAACACGACGATCCTCTCGATACTGATCATGAACATTTAATGGCTAGCATAGCAATCATGAGTGTGAGAACGATAACGACAGTGACAAAGAAGCGTAGTTTTCATTTCCAGCTTGATAGCACAGTAATTATACTAACGGCAATAGTCGTAGTAGGAACAGAAACAATAGGAAGGGTGCGGACTAACAACACAGCAAGAGTGACAACGGGCTCCAAACCCCCGCCAGAGAAACCCTGCCCCTCCCCTACACCCCGAACCCTGAACCCTGAACCCTATAAACCCTGAACCCTAAACGCTGAACCCTATAAACCCTGAACCCTAAACCCTGAACCCTGAACCCTAAGCCCCTCTGCACCTCGAGGGCAGGAGTGTACACTGCGGGCTGCAGCCTCCCCTCGCCACAGCCAGGGCCGATCTGGGCTTCAGACGTTCGTTTTGGGCTTAAGGTTCTTTCAAGTTTAGGGTTTAGGAGTTGAGGGCTGATAAGAGAAGACGAAAAACAAATGCTGTGTGTATGTGTGGTGATGAATGAAGTGACAAGCGTGCGTTCGATCCTCTCGGTCGCTTCCTTGTCTTATCCTTCATTGAAAGACGCTCATCGTTCCCAACTAACAGCATTCTACCCCAGGAACCAATGGTAAACTGAACGAACCGTGTGCTGGAGGTGAACACAAAGTTTCTGGTGTGCGCTTGTAATGCAAGAGTATGAAACCAAAGAGAAAGAAACAAGTTACGTGCGTGTTGCACTGACGTTCACATTTCATATGAATAAACTGGCACACCATAATTCGAGGGTACAAGCTATGGGTGACGAGGAAGCACGGCTCACCTTACCAAATTTCACCACACGGGAACGACCCTAGGAACGAAAAGGACCTTAAATTACACGCTTGCCGAGATTGCCGGGGGGGCGGGAACCGCTCACGAACTCTCAAGTTTCGAGCTCAGGGCTCAGCGCTGGAGATTCGGGTTTAGGGACTATGTAACGTCTTGGGGTTTTTGTTTACCTACGGCCTACCCCAACTTAAGGTTTGGGAGTCGTTCAGGGGGCAGGTTTTGCAGCCAAGCAGCGGTCAGTGAACAGAGTCCTTCTTCGGCCGAAGCCTGCAGTGCCAGCTCGGTCTGCGGGTCTAGCGGTCTTCGTCAGTCTTGTGGTTAGCATACGGATCGTAGGCTGTAGGCGCCTAGTGGCTAGGGACCTGAGTGTGGATGGGAAATGGGTGTTCAAACCTTTCTGAATACTAATAATATCCGTAAAGACAAACACTGTCTCACACTGGATGTACATAGAAGTCCTACGCACACACAAACTACAACGGGGTCGTATTACTGCCTTGCTCCGAGCAGCAACAGCGGCCACGACTTGATCGGATGCCGGCCACAGCTGCAGCTGCACCTCAAATGTGTACTGTGTTACATTATATCGTACCGTTTCTTTCTATACTATATGACAATATAAATAGATAATCTAAGGTGGGCCGAAACCATCCCGAAAGGCAGTGCTCTAACATCGAGGCCCAAAGGGGACAGCAAGAGTCGGGTCGTCTTGGGTGTGAGACTTTCAGTCTGCGTAGCTATCTCGAAACGATACCTGCAAAACCCTTAAACTTTTCCAGAGCGTCCATGCTCTAGACTCTAGACTTCGCCGAAACGGAAAGCGGCTGTGGACTATTGCACGGCTGAGGGGCCACGGCCCCGTTCACTGCCGGAGGCCGCACCAGCCTGAGAAGCCACTCAGGCGCAGGATGATTGAGTCAAATTTCGTAGGACCTTTTTGGGCTCGCTGCCGTGAGGGGAGCCTGTGATCTTTCGGCATGTGGACAGAAGCACCACCCGGATTCTGATCGTGATGTGCGTCTCCGCTGCTCTTATGGTAGGTGCAGAGCACAGCTTGCATCGAGCGGCGGCTCGTTGAGATTCCGCACATCGAAGAGGCCTGGCATCAAGCCGACGGGCTCTTCTGTAGAGGAGCAACGGGGAATGCAGGTCCCGGGACATTAATCTTCTCCAATGGCCTGTGCCTGTGCTCGCAAATCGATATGACCGAAAAACAATTTTGAGAGTAGGATCCTTGTTGCAAGAATCCTAAGAAGGTGCCCCGATGTATCCCACAGCTCAGCCCCAGAACCACCGACAAATGTCGAGATCCGCACCGAGCTCGCCGGCTAAGCCTCCGCAAAGCAGCAGCCCACATTCCCCAGATGCAGCCACACTGCACCTGGGCCGGCTTCTTAAAGCCACGAGGGAGGTTCGCGATCTCATCATGCATTTGGACTTGCAGTGCTAACGAGTGCCTGCGGATTTCGAAGGCGATGCCACAACCTCATCAAAAAAGAGCTACAAGTATATCGCATCTAGGAATTCAGAAGGGGGACCCTCCAACCTCTGGCGCTCTCCTCCCTTGCAAATGCCCACCTCCCTGAACGCCGAACGCTAACATCCCCCAACAAAAAGATGATGCCAAGGCACAGGGAACGGGGCGCAGCTTCCCGGAAGCCGGCCTTTGCAGTGGGGCCTAGGCCACTGCGCAGATCCCACAGCCTCGGATGTTCAGTACTAGTCTGAGTAGTATCACCTGCTATTGTGGTAACATGTATGATGATGTTGATGGTGCTGACGACGATGATGAAGAAGATGATGATGATTGCGACTTGTTGATAGCTTAGTTTAGAGTACTACTATGATGAGCTGTACTGTTACTCCTGTCCGTCGATATCAATATGATGCGCTGCTTTCTCGCTCTGTCTGGGGCAAGCTCAAGGTTTGGGGTTTTGGGGGGCGGGTCTAGAGCTTTAGCCTCTACGATATGCCAGCGTCTGTTATGAAGTTACGTTTGACATACCACCGTATTCAACATGCGATGTTGCACCAGAATCCATGTCCATGCATATGGTAGAGCACAGAAAAGCGCCAAGGCTGATATGCTCCATCTACATCAACACCTACCAACATGCAAAACTACCGGTATTGGAAATAGGTAACGTGATGGGAGGGCACTCACGACGAGGATTACGCTGATAACAGTACCAACGACAAGAACGGTCGCAACTACAACAACAGTCGTAATCGTAATCCTCGACGTTGACGCCAACAGCATCATCCATCATCACCAGCATCGGCATCATCTTTATCAACATTATCATCATTATTATTACTACCATCATCACCGTGTCATCGCTACTAAAACCTGTACCAATGAAACAAACAACAGTCAGTAATCGCAATATGGACTGTCAGGCAGAGAAAACGCGACAGGCCACACGAGTGACAAGATCCACGGCAGTAATATTAACTATACCGATAGCATCATAATCACAACAACCATTATTGCAATGACTTTTACTGTTGCTATTGAGATCATGAGTACACTTATCGCCATCATTCTGAGTCACTCTGAATATTAGCATGACTGTCATTGTGGTGAGTATTGTTGCTGTTGTTATTATAGACATAAATACGTTGCTACATTGCGTCTTCACATAAAACCGAAAGCACGCAGAGGAACAGAGAGAATCTTGCCTCATCCTGTCTACGACTTTCACGCTACCTCAAGGACCCGGGCCGAGGTCATCTGGGAGCTCCAACAGGCAACGGACACAATACTGAGATCCCTCTTTTCATTTACAAAGACATAAGGAATCCCCAAACACTTAATTTCAACTCCCTGAAAGATCATAAGACTTAACTCCACCTCATGTACACCCCAGAAAACCCTCAGACAACCGCATAGGCCGGGGGGCAGCAGGGATCCATCGAGGGATGCTGAAGCGAAGGACTGACGGCCGAAAAGGACTGTAGGGCTTGGACCCAGAGTAAGATGATATCCAAGACAATTGCAACAAGCTATAAAAGGTCGTCTGAGTGTGTGTGTGTGTATATATATATATGTATATATATATATCATTGACAGGACATATCTGCGGCCCTCTGCACTGTGGAGAAATATCCGGATCTTTTGAATGCTGAGGTCGTGTATGAAGTCAGTTCTCGCTCTTGTGCCTGTGCAGAGATGGCACAGACATCCGCCACGAAGTCCCAGTGCCCTGCGCACCTGGAGCAAAAGTGTGTAATCGAGTCACAGGGAGCCCGGCCAGCAGCAGCAGCCGCGGCCGTTTTGTCAGCACCCACTGGCACCACCACAAGCAGCGGTACCACGTAGTATCATCTTCATCGCGATTGAAAGTAACGGCCAACACTGATACTCGTTGTAGGATGGAGGCTCCCATGCTTGCAAAGGCTGCACAGACGCTGGGGCTCCGGGCGCCGAGAGGCCGCGCGGTGGGCTCAGCGCAGCATCGTAGAGGCCAACTTCGTGAGATCCCAGGGCCGACATCCTCACGCAGGGCTGTCTTCGGGTTTCCGGTATGCCTGTAGACTTGAGCCTAGGGCCTCTTCGGCTCGGGTGGAAGATCTAGCAGCACTTTCGGA